ATGCAGAAACCGAAACTCCTATTATTCGTAGATCCACTAGAGCACGAAGACCTCCAGTAAGGTATTCTCCTTCAGCTAATTACTTGCTGTTGACTGAGAATGGTGAACCTAAATCTTATCCAGAGGCCTTAAGGATGAAAGATTCCATACAGTGGAAGACGGCTATGGAAGACGAGTTGAGCTCACTTGATAAGAACCATACTTGGTCCTTGGTCAAGCTCCCGGCAGGGAAGAAAGCACTGCAGAACAAATGGGTGTTTCGGGTCAAAGATGAGATTGATGGCACTAAAAGATACAAGGCCAGATTGGTAGTAAAGGGTTTCCAACAAAAGAGGGGTGTTGACTACAACGAGATATTCTCCCCAGTTGTGAAGATGACTACAATCAGAATGGTCTTGGGAATTGTAGCCTCTGAAGATCTCCATCTAGAGCAGCTAGATGTGAAGACAGCTTTTCTCCATGGTGACCTGGAAGAAGACATCTACATGGCACAACCAGAGGGTTTCCCAACAGTTGGCAAGGAAAACCTGGTGTGCAAATTAAAGAAAAGTCTGTATGGATTGAAGCAAGCTCCAAGACAGTGGTACTTGAAGTTTGATAGCTTCATGCAGAGGAGTGGGTATCACAGATGTGAAATGGATCACTGTTGTTACTTGAAGAAATTCAACTCCTCATACATCATCCTGTTATTATATGTTGATGACATGTTGATAGCTGGGTCCGACATGCAGGAAATCAACAAGCTTAAGAAGCAGTTGTCCAGAGAGTTCGAGATGAAGGACTTAGGGGCTGCTAAGCAGATATTGGGCATCAGCATAGCCAGGAACAGAGTTACCGGTACATTAAAACTTTCACAAGCTAAGTACATCAAGAAAGTTTTAGAAAAGTTCAGCATGGCAGATGCTAACGCCAGAAGTACACCTTTGGGAAGTCAGTTGAGACTCTCAAAGAAGCAATCCCCAAAGACGGAAGAAGACAAGAACCAGATGACTAAAGTTCCCTACGCATCTGCAGTTGGTAGCTTGATGTATGCTATGGTATGCACCAGACCAGACATTGCTCATGCAGTGGGAGTTGTGAGCAGGTTCATGTCAAATCCAGGAAAAGAGCATTGGGAGGGAGTAAAGTGGTTGTTACGCTACTTGAAAGGAACATCTGAGGTTGCCCTATGTTTCAGAAGAAAGGGTGTGATCTTGGAAGGGTTCGTCGATGCTGATTTGGGTGGATGTGTGGATTCAGGAAAGAGCACAACAGGTTATGTGTTCACAATTGGAGGTACATCAATCAGTTGGATGTCCAGGTTACAAAAGAGTGTTGCTCTCTCAACCACAGAAGCAGAGTATATGGCTATTGCAGAAGCAGCCAAAGAGCTTATATGGTTGAAGAACTTTCTATCAGAACTTGGAATGCATCAGGAGGATTGTGTATTGCATTGTGACAACCAGAGTGCAGTTTATTTGGCAAAGAATCCAGTGTTTCATAGTAGAACGAAACACATTCAGATGAGGTACCATTTTATTCGAGAATTAATTAATGATGGAACTCTAAATCTGAAGAAAATCCTTGGAACAAAGAATCCAGCAGATATGTTCACCAAGGTGGCTACCACTGAAAAGTTGAAGCTTTGTATGGCTTCAACTGGCCTTTCAGAAGTTTGAGAAAAAGGCATGGCAGAGAGAGAGAGAGAGAGAGAGAGAGAGTGCTTAAGGAATGTTGCAAGGTTTTGGATGGCAGAGAAAAGCTAAGTTGTTCAAGCCTCCAAGTGGGAGATTGTTAAGATTTATGGAGTCTTGAACAAATTGACAAGTTCCTAAGAGTTCAAGGGCCATAAATGTAACTTAGCAATTAAAATTTGAATTGAATTATTGGACGCACTAACGGACGCATTATCACCAACTTTCAGTGGGAAAGAAAATTTGTAAAACTTCGGCCGCACTAAAGGAATATTAAATTATTTGTGGTTTTTCACATTCGTGTGAATGGAAGGAAAGCAACGGCTCTTGATTAGTATAAATATATGCACCAGCAAGAAGAAGAAATGCACAACACAACACAATGATTTTATATACACAGAAAAGAAATTAGTAAGGTATTAATTTTTGTGCAGAGCCTTAATTTTTGGCAGCCAAAAATTACGAGTGATATCTTACAGTGAGTGATCATATTACAAGGGCATATTTTAGCCTTGTATGATTGTAATTTTCTTTGGTGTTAATAAAATCCCCTCTCTCTCGTTCGCCCGTGGATGTAGGTCAGATTAGACCGAACCACGTTAAATATCGTGTTCAATTTCGTTTGCAAATTTTTCAATAGTTTATTCCGCGAGTTTTGCCGAAATCGTTATATCAATTTTAGAAGTGCTTAACTTGTTTTGTTGCATACCCAACATGGTGGGTTTGCTTTGAATAGTTATATTTGTTTTGATTGAAGCATGTATCTAACTCCATCATCGGATACATGTGGGTTTGCTTTAAATACATATTTTTGTGTTAATTGAAGACATTAATTTACTCCTGGTCATCCTAAAATCCTTTCCCAGTTGAAATGAATGCTATTGATATTTTCAGGAAATTATATTATACTTTTTTTTTCTTTTTAGTTTATTGAAATCTGATTCTTTTTGTTTCCAGTTAGGGAGTTAATTTCCAACAGTTTGGAAGTAATACCCTTCTAGTACATGTGGTTTAGGGTTCAATTCCATGGGGTGATTTTGGAGTTGACTATATTCAGAGATCCAGCCACAAGAAGGTAAATGTAAACCAACAAATTTTGGTTCACTTCTAAAAGACGTTTATACCCCTGGGCTGATTTTGTTGGTGCGAATGACTCGATGTGCAGGGTGGTCCATCAAATCTTCTGAATACATCAACTGGTATGATTATGATGTAATACCTTTTCTTATTTTGCTTGCTTACCACCTCATCTTATTCACTTTGGATTCTCTCTTCCTACCTGCTTTACTTTTTGCAGCTGGAATCACCTTTATAGTCACTTCCTTCAGTTAGTTTCTACACATTCATCAATACACATAACGGGTATTTGTATTTCCCCTTTTACTTTAATTATTTTGTGTCTTGTTTTTCTTTTTCATCTATTTATATTATATAATTTTTTTTCCGTCTGTTTCAGATTAAATTGTTCATCAATATCCCACGATGGATCATTAGTAGCTGGAGGATTCTCAGATTCATCACTCAAGGTCTTTTTCCTTAATTTTATTTCTTAATATTCTAATACAAAATTAGAAATCCAGTTTATATTATAATCTTATTAATATCTGGTAGGTGTGGGACATGGGAAAACTTGGGCGTATGGGGAGTTGGAAGTCATCCAAATTATTTACTTCAAAAGTTAAATAACTAACTTTTTAAATAAAGGTAAAAAATGATTAATTAAATAAGATTTACTGGTTTTCAGCTGGTGAAAATGATTCGGATGGATCGAATGGTGGAAAAATGTCTTACACTTTGTATCAGGGGCATTCTGGTCCGGTTTATTCAGCTTCATTTAGTCCTTTTGGGGATTTTCTTTTATCATCATCGTCAGATTCAACAAGTATGTTTTTTTTTCTTATGAAAACTATTTCATGTTTCCATGTTTTACTTATGAATAATTATTGCAGTTCGATTATGGAGCACGAAGTTCAATGCAAATGTTGTCTGCTACAAGGGTCATAATTACCCTGTATGGGATGTTAAGGTAGAAAAGTCAAAAATTTACTACCATGTAAATGTTAATGGAATATTGTAAATTTATGTGGTAGTTATTTGTTATTGTATATGCAGTATTGCAGTTTAGTCCACATGGACACTATTTTGCAAGTGCATCTCATGATAGAACAGTTAGGATTTGGTCAATTGATAGAATTCAGCCTCTAAGAATACTTGCAGGACGCTTATCTGATGTTGATGTGAGTTTTCTCTCTCTTTTTGGTCCCTGAGGATGGCTGATTTTTGCAATTTTAGTCCAAAAAATGAAGCACCAAGGGACCAAAATGTAATTTACCTTTGATCTAGACAATAGTTGTTGGACGTGTTATGCTTTTTTTTTAATAAAATTTGGCAGTTTGTAGAATGGCATATGAACTGCAATTATGTTGCAACCGGATCAAGCGACAAAACAATTCGTTTATGGGACGTACAAAGTGGTGAATGCATAAGAATTTTTATTGGTCATAGGAGTATGATTTTATCATTAGCCATGTCACCTGATGGTAGATACATGGCATCTGGAGATGAAGATGGAAGTATAATGATGTGGGATGTTTCCAATGGTCGATGTGTCACTCCTCTTGTCGGCCATACTTCATGTGTCTGGTCTCTTGCTTTCAGGTACCCAACTCATTAACATCACATACTTGTATCTGGTTCCGCTGATTCAACTGTTAAATTATGGGACGTTAACACAAGTGCAAAAACGCCCAAAACCGAAGGCAAGTAATCGTTTTTATTTTTATGCAGCTTTCACCTTTTTGGCTATTTGTAGAGACTGTTGACCAGGCTTATGAATTGTATAATGTTTTGAAACAAAGAGAATTAGAAAAATTAAACTGAAAACTACACATATATTACATTCAGGGCTACAATTTATACACAAGAATAAACATGGAAAGAACTCCTAATCTAGGCAGGCTAGCTATACAAATATTCACATTAAAAATAAAGATTCCCTTTGACAGATTTTTAGGGATCAATCATGATTCTGATTTGACTTTCCATTCCAACACTCCCCCTCAAGTTGGTGAATGTATATCCCACATTCCCAACTTGGAAACATTGCATTCGAAATCTGTTTTCAGCAATGCTTTAGTGAACATGTCAGCTTCCTGCTGCTTTGCTGGTACATAGTTGAGACTGATGGTACCATTCTCTACTTCAGTCTTGATGAAATTTCTGTCTATTCGAACATGCTTCATTCTGTCGTGTTGAATAGGATTATGGACAATTGCAATTGCGGGTTTACTATCACTATTCAACTTCATTGGACCATCAACATTTATTTTAAGATCTTCCAGTAGCCTTTTTAATCCAGATTAGCTCACAAATCCCTTGAGATATTGCCCTATACTCTGCTTCAGCACTGCTTCTAGCTACCACAGTCTGTTTCTTACTTCTCCAGGTAACTATGTTTCCCCATACTTTAGTATAATAACCTGTTGTTGACTTGGCATCAGTTGAGCCTCCCCAATCCGCATCAGCATGTCAAAAAAGGTAGTATAAGATAGTAGAAATAGAAAGAAATTCAGGATTCATTCATATACTCTTTTTTTTTTGTTATTTCAAAATGCAGGAAATGAATACATTTATACAAGTTATCTTCTAACTTGTATCTAGACCATTTGCTGGAAAGAAGAAAAAAAAAGTTGTCCCTTGCTGGAAAGAAGAAGCAAGGCTGTCCCTTGCTGGAAAGAAGAAGCAGGGCTGTCCTGCTGGAAAGAAGAAGAAGCTGTCCCTGCTGGAAAGAAGAAGCAAGGCTGGAAAGGTAAGTTTTCTAACACTCCCCCTCAAGTTGAGCAGTGGGATCTCCGATACTCAACTTGTCCAAACAGTGATTGAAGATTTTTCCAGTGACTGCCTTTGTCAGTATATCTGCTAACTGATCTTCGGATCGTACAAATGGAATCTCGATTATTCCTGCTTCTAGTTTTTCTTTGATGAAATGTCTGTCAATTTCTACGTGTTTTGTACGGTCATGTTGAACAGGATTCTCTGAGATTCTGATAGCTGCTTCATTGTCACAAAACAATTTGGTTGGAATTTTTTGTGGAAACCCAATCTCATTCATTAGCTTTCTTAACCACAAAATTTCTGTGATTCCTTTTGCGATTCCTCTGAATTCTGCTTCGGCACTTGATAGGGCTACAACCATCTGTTTTTTGCTTCTCCAAGTGACCAAGTTTCCTCCGATAAAAGTGAAGTATCCTGCAGTAGATCTTTTATCATTTGGGTTACCGCCCCAATCTGCATCAGTGAAGGCTTTGATCTCAAGGTGGCCATTGTTTTTAAATACAACACCTTTTCCAGAGGATCCTTTTAGATATCTGAGTATTCTCATCACAGCTTCCATATGATGCGTCTGCGGCTCGTGCATAAACTGACTTACAACCCCTACAGCATAGGAGATGTCTGGTCTAGTGTGAGCTAGATAGATTAGTTTTCCCACCAGCCTTTGATATTTTTCTCGATCTGCTAGTTCTGCTCCTTCCACTTTCTGGAGTTTGTGGTTTACCATCATCGGGGTATCGTTAGGTTTACAATCTAACATACCAGTTTCTGCAAGAAGATCAAGAATATACTTTCGTTGTGAGATAAAAATTCCTCCCTTGGATCGAAGAACTTCTATTCCTAGAAAGTATTTCAGTCTACCGAGATCTTTCATTTCAAATGTAGTGAAGAGATTTTCTCGGAGGCGCGAAATTTCTTCCTTGTCATTTCCTGTAATAATCATATCATCAACATAGATTATGAGGCATGTAATCAGGGTCCCTCTTTTCTTTAGGAACAATGTGTGATCAGCATTGCTTTGTTTATACCCATATTGCTTCATAGCCATTGTGAATCTCCCAAACCATGCTCGCGGAGACTGTTTAAGCCCGTACAAGGCTTTCTTGAGTTTGCAGACTTCATCATTTTTGAAATCATCTGAAAAACCTGGTGGTGCCTCCATGTAGACTTCTTCTTTTAGATCTCCATGTAGGAAAGCATTCTTGACATCAAACTGATGGAGTGGCCAGTCTTTATTTGCTGCAGCTGAAAATAACACTCTAATTGTGTCGATCTTGGCTACGGGAGAGAAAGTCTCTGAGTAGTCAATACCATACGTTTGGGTGTACCCTTTTGCAACGAGTCGAGCTTTGTATCTGTTGACTGTACCATCCGGATTGTGTTTGACTGTAAATACCCAACGAGCTCCGACTGCTTTCTTTTCATCTGGAAGTCTACACTTATCCCATGTGTCAGCTTTCTTTAAGGCCTTCATTTCTGATCTCATAGCTTCTGCCCAGTTCTTTGACTGCAACGCTTGTTGCACTGTCGTTGGGATGTGTTCAGCATATATAGATGAAACAAATGCTTTGGCCTCGTCAGTTAGTCTTCCTTTGGCTATGTTTGCCATTGGGTATCTTGAACTTCGAGAATCTTTTTCCGTAGAATATCTTTTAGGCGGAACTCCCCTATTTGCCCTTGGTGGTAGTACATATCTTTCTATAGGCTCTTCTTGTATTTCATCAAAATGACCTGTTGCTGTCTCATCATGATTGGGGGCAGGTAAAGGATTAGGAGTTTCATCATGACTGGAAGATTCAGTGTCAGAGTTACTTACCTCGAACATTAGATTGGGAGGATGTTGGTTGTTGACACTGATGTCGATGGATGGTACTATATTTGGAAGTGATTCATCATTGGTACTGTGATTGACTTCTTCTGATGACGGTACCTGCTTTAGCCAACTCAGTGAGTCTTCAGTTTCCATTTCCCCCTGACTGCTGAGTTGGGATTTGTAGAAAAACTCTGTTTCCAAGAAGTCACAATTCATGGTAGTAAAGATATGACGTCTTCTTGGATTGTAGCATCTGTATCCTTTTTTATTTACTCCGTATCCCACAAAAACACATTTTTCTGCGCACGGTTCAAGTTTGGTTCGTTCTGCTTTGGGTATGTGGACAAAGACAGAACATCCAAAGATACGGGGTTGTAGGGTGAGAGGTGGTGGAATTTTGATAAATGCGGAAAGGGTTTGTAAGGGTGTTTTTAGGTCAAGAGCTTTGGTTGGAAGTCTGTTTATAAGGTAACCAGCTGTGGCAACCGCCTCCGGCCAAAAAGATTTAGGAACTTTGGAGTCAATTATAAGAGCCCGAGTAATTTCAAGGATGATACGGTTTTTTTCGTTCGGCAACACCATTTTGTTCTGGGGTATTGGGGCTGGTCGTTTGGTGGATGATTCCTTTTTCTTGACAAAAAAGTTTCATGGTGGTGTTAACAAATTCACCACCATTGTCAGATCTAAGGATTTGGATGGGTTTTTGGAATTGAGTTTGGATCATGGTATGGAACATGGCAAACTTATCGGAAACTTGGGACTTATGTTTCAAGAAGTAAATCCATGTCATGCGGGTGCAATCATCCACAAAAAGTAAATAATAGCGTAAGTTTTGGCCTCCATTTACCTCAGCCGGACCCCACACATCAGAGTGTATTAAAGAGAATGGCAAATCAACTCTTGTATTCCTGGGTTTAAAAGTATGTCTGTGGCTTTTGGCCAAGACACACGTTTCACATTGCAACAAGTTTTTTGAAGGTAAAAAATGCGGGAATAAAAGATGCAGATAACTTGAAGAGGGGTGTCCCAAACGTCGGTGCCATAACCATGCGGCTCTATCATTAGTTCCATGAGTCAACATCACAGTACCATGCTGATTCACTTCATCCACATAGTATAATCCCTGACGTTCAGTGCCACGCCCAAGAATCACCCCCGTTCTGATGTCCTGTAAGATACAAAATGAGGGATACATTAGTACAATACAATTCATCTCTTTGGTCACATGACTAATAGATAGTAATTTGTGAGACAAAGATGGCACATAGAGACAATTTGAGATTTTTAAAGTTGGTGAAATGTCAATTGTGCCCCCTCCTTCCACTGTTACCACTTGTCCATTAGCTGTTTGGATATGAGTCTTATTGGGTGTGGTTTTTGAAGCTAGATCGGATTTTTCAAATGTCATGGTGTCGGTTGCCCCGGAATCAAAAATCCAGTTTTTTTGTTTGTTATTATTATTTTGAACATTATGGGCTTCTCCTGTATAAGTAGGTACTGTCGTAGCCTCCCCCTCGGTTGGCGGGGTTCGGGGATAGCCTACAAGTTTATTATTTTTGTTACCTTTTGTTTCAGCCATGAGCCCTCCAAAACCTGTATTTTCGCCACTGCTTTTGGTGACAGTTGCACTGTTGCTGCTGCTTCCACCTCTGTTATTGGTGGCAGTTACATCTCCTCGTTTGCTCCCTTCATTCCACCATTCAGGATAGCCTACAAGTTTAAAGCACTGCTCTTTGGTGTGTCTTGTCTTCTTACAGTGTTCACACTTTAGGTGTGATTTATCTTGTTTCTGTGATGCAGATTGTGTGAATGGTCGTCTCTGCCCCTTGGATATGAATCCTGCACCTTCAGATTCTCCTTCTCCTGTGACAGCTAGTCCTGCTGCCACACCTTGTTCTATGGTTGTTTCAGAGGCTGCTCCTATGATTTTCTGGTGAGCTGTTTCTTTTCTAACTGTTGCATAGGCTCCTTCTGATGAGGGAAGTGGATCACATCTAAGTATTTCCCGTTTTATTGGGTCGTACCTGTGATCCAAGGCATTTAGAAACTGGAACAGTTTTTGCTCCCCCCTTATTCTGTTGTATGTTGTGATGTCAACAGAACACTTCATAGGATTTGGATCCCTTCTTTCAATTTCTCCCCAGATCCCTTGTAAAACGATCCAGAGATCTTCAAGAGGTATGCCTTTCTGTTTGATTTCATTGCCTTTGACATGAAGATCAAACAGTTGCAGTTTATCTTTTCCACTGCTGTATGTAACCACAAGAGCATCCCACAATGATTTTGCTGTGGGAAATTCGGTAAGGTTGCTGGCAAGGCTTGGTTCTATGTTTTGTATGAGCCATGAAAACACAACTAAGTCGTTTTGTTCCCATTGCTCATAACTTTCATGTGTTGCATCTGGAGGATTACTGGATAAATGATTCAGTAATGATTTTGACTTCCCTCCAATTGCCACTCGAATCATGCGAGCCCATAATGCATAATTTTGGCTATTAAGGGTGATGCTAATTTTGAGGTTATCGGATAGGCTCTGTTTGGATGGGTTTGGTGTTTGGGATTTTAAGAGATTTGTGAGTATTTGGGTCAGGTCATCACTAGTGATGCCTGTTCTATGGGATGAACTTCCATCTTCAGACATGACAGCTCAAATTAAAGAGTAGATGATGAGCAGTTTTGGTCCTAAAACCATATACACTGCTCTGATACCATGTCAAAAAAGGTAGTATAAGATAGTAGAAATAGAAAGAAATTCAGGATTCATTCATATACTCTTTTTTTTTGTTATTTCAAAATGCAGGAAATGAATACATTTATACAAGTTATCTTCTAACTTGTATCTAGACCATTTGCTGGAAAGAAGAAAAAAAAAGCTGTCCCTTGCTGGAAAGAAGAAGCAAGGCTGTCCCTTGCTGGAAAGAAGAAGCAGGGCTGTCCTGCTGGAAAGAAGAAGAAGCTGTCCCTTGCTGGAAAGAAGAAGCAAGGCTGGAAAGGTAAGTTTTCTAACACAGCAAACCCTTCAATGTTTCGTTGTTCATTTTTCTTAAAAAATACTCCCTTCCCAGGTGTGCCTTTCAAATACCGCATAATTTGTTGAACAGCTTCATAGTGTCTTTTTGTGGGAGAATGCATATACTGGCTTACAACACTCACACTGTATGCAATATCAGGACGTGTTAGAGATAGGTAAATTAACTTACCTACAAGGCGTTGGTACTGCTCTCGATCAACTGGAGGGTCATTATCGCTGATTTTAGATGTCCAATTTCGCTCTTGAGGGGTACTTGTTGGTTTGCATCCAAGTTTTCCTGTTTCTTTCAAAAGATCGAGATCATATCTTCGTTGGGACACAAATATTCCCTGCTTGCTTCGAGCAATTTCCATTCCAAGGAAATATTGTACCTTTCCAAGGTCCTTAACCTTAAACATGGAATGTAACCTTCTTTTCAAGTTCTCAATCCCGTGAATATCATCCCCAGTGATGATCATATCGTCTACATACACAAGTAATATCGACTTCTTACCATCACTAGACTGTTTTGTAAATAGGCTGTGATCAGCTTGACTTTGCATGTACCCAAATTGTTTCATAACTGAGCTCAGTTTATTGAACCATGCGCGTGGTGACTGCTTCAAACCATACAAGGATTTTTGCAATTTACACACCTGATCCATTCCCTTATTTTCTTCAAACCCTGGAGGAAGTTTCATGTATACGTCTTCTTCTAGTGTTCCATTGAGGAATGCATTCTTTATGTCCAATTGGTGTAGTTCCCAATCTAGATTAGCAGCAAGAGAGAGAAGAACTCGAATGGAGTTCAATTTTGCCACGGGGGCAAACATCTCTTCATAATCAATCCCATAGGTCTGGGAGTACCCCTGCGCAACTAGCCTTGCTTTGTTTCTTTCAATGTTTCCATCAGCACCAACTTTAATTGAAAAAATCCATTTGCACCCAATTATCTTTCTTCCTTCATGTGTTTTGACAACCTCCCAAGTCTTGTTTTCCTTAAGGGCATTAATTTCTTCCATGACAGCTTTCTTCCACTTCGGATCAAGTAGGGCCTCATGGATACTTGTAGGAATCACTTCTTTATCCACTTGTGAGAGAAAGGCCTTATATTTTGAAGACAACTTACTGTATGAAAGATGCCCTGAAATCGGGTATCTACAAGATCGAACCCCTTTTCGAATGGCAATAGGGACATCAAGATTATCAGGATCATGTGTTTGAGCTTCTTCCGGAGCAGGTGTTTCAGGAGATGATGATTGGCAATTACCAGGTCGTGGCCTTCTGGAATATACTTTGAGTGTGGGTTGTTGTGGTTCTTCCCCTTGACCAGGATCCTCAATGGTTGGTAGTGTTGAAGATAACATAGGGGATGTAGAAATAGGCTCCGACAATGACACAGGAAGGGAAATTGAGGGATCCCAATGGATTTCTTCACTAAGGTTTGCCCCCTGAAAAGATGTAGTGGGATAAAAGCTTTGTGTTTCAAAAAATGTGACATCACAAGTTACAAACATCGTTTTTGAAGATGGACAATAACACTTATAGCCTTTTTTAGTTGACGAGTATCCCAAAAAAATGCATTTGATAGCTTTAGGATCTAATTTCCCTCGAGATGGACTTGTATTGTAAACATAGGCTTTACACCCCAAAGACACGTGGCGAAAGAGAGTTTAGAACTCTGAGTTTAGGGAAACATTTTTGAAGACATTGTATTGGGGTTGAAAAAGCAAGAACTTTTGAAGGGAGCCTATTAATTAAATAGGCAGCAGTAAGCACAGCTTCACCCCAGAAAGAGTGAGGGACATGACAGTTTATCATGATAGCCCTAGACACTTCAAGAAGATGGCGGTTTTTTCTCTCAGCCACTCCATTTTGTTGTGGAGTTTTGGTACAAGAAGATTGGTGGAGAATGCCATGTTCAGTTAGATAAGCTTTGAGATCATTAGCAAAATACTCTCCGCCATTGTCAGATCGAAGGACATGGATTCTGGATTGGAACACATTTTCTACATGCTTGTGGAATTTTTTAAAAACTTCACCACAATCAGATTTGTTTTTTAACAGATACACCCAACAAGCACGTGTATGGTCATCGATGAATGTGATGAACCATCGGGATCCATTTATGTTAAGAGTACGGGATGGGCCCCATATATCAGTATGAACAATACTGAATGGTTGGGATGGTTGATATACATGGCTTGGGTATGTATTTTTGGTTTGTTTAGCAAGAACACAACTTTCACATTGAAACCCAGAACAATCTTTATTGATGAATAATTTTGGATTCAAACGACGCAAGTAATCAAAACTAGGATGTCCTAAACGTTGATGCCATAACAAAACATTAGACTCAGAAGTAACAGAAAGAGAAAGGTGTTTAGGGGAATGCAACATGGATGAAGAGCCTGTGAAGTAGTAGAGACCGTTGTATTCTTTAGCAATGCCAATCATCTTCCCTGAAGACTGCTCCTGAACTTCACAATGTGTAGGGAAACAAGTTACTATACAGTTCTGATCTTTAAGAAGTTTAATGACTGACATTAAATTAAACCGGAGGTTTGGCACATATAAAACTGAATTTAGTTTTAAATCATCATAGATAGCATTCCCTATTCCGGTAACACGAGCGACTTTTCCATCAGCAACTGTTACAGTAATGTAATTGGTGCTTGGTTTAATGTCTTTTAGTAAATTCTTACTCCCAGTCATATGATCAGAAGCACCAGTATCAACAATCCATGCTTCAAATGATCCATTTTTTAATAGAAAAGAAGGTATTTGTTTACCTTGTTGTGCCCCATTACCTAATGGAGTGGAGGATGAACTGGTGGATTGTAAGAGTGACCTGAGTACTTCCATTTGATCTGCTGTAAAAGGGCTGGAAGAAGAATTATTTTCTTGTGAAGTCTTTGCAACATGTGCAGATGCGGTTTTGGATTGTACCCTTCGAGGAGTCCAGTTTGCGGGCTTTCCGTGAAGGCCCCAACATTGGTCCTTTGTATGATACGACTTCTTGCAGTGTTCACACCAGACTTTGGTGTTTGAAGACTTAGAATTCTTTTGTCCTTCTGATCTGTAGGTAGCAAGGGCAGAACCTTCAATATCGATACTTGTTGGGGTATGTAGCATCACCTTCTTGCGACTTTCTTCTCGTCGAACTTCTGCAAATACTTCTCGAAGAGAGGGAAGTGGTTTCGTGCCAAGGATTCTGCCCCTAACCTCGTCTAGTTCTTTGTTGAGACCTTGAAGGAAATCAAAGATTCTATCTTTTTCAAGCATTTTTGCATGAAGAACACCGTCTTGAGGACATGACCATTTTATGTTGTAAAACACATCCATCTCCTGCCACAATTCTGTTAGAACATTGTAGTATTCAGTAACCGATCGTCCTCCTTGGTTGGTATTCCGAAGAGCTGAACGAATCTCAAAACACTGTGAGGTGTTTTCAAGATCGGAATACATTTCTTGGACAGCTTTCCAGATTTCATGAGCTGTGTTGTAATAGAGATAGGTTCTTCCGATATTCGGGTTCATAGAATTAACCAACCACGCCATAACAATGGAGTTTTCTGCCTCCCATACTTTGTAGTGAGCATCCTTTTGGCTTTAGTTTCACCGGTAAGGTACCCGGTCTTCCCTTTCCCTCTGATGACAAGTAGAACCGATTGAAACCATTCACGGAAATTCAATCCATTAAGTTTATGTTGGGTAATTTGAAGAGAGGGATTGATATCAGATGGTGGAAAAAGAGATAAATTTGGGTTTGAAGACAGATGGGTAGTAGATGATTCAACAGAGCCCGTCATTATGGTGGGAAAAAAAATCAAGAATAAGATGATCACAAATGGTTATTTGGCAGCAACAACGTTAGCCGGCAGAGGTTGCACGGCTCTGATACCATGAAACAAAGAGACTTAGAAAAATTAAACTGAAAACTACACATATATTACATTCAGGGCTACAATTTATACACAAGAATAAACATGGAAAGAACTCCTAATCTAGGCAGGCTAGCTATACAAATATTCACATTAAAAATAAAGATTCCCTTTGACAGATTTTTAGGGATCAATCATGATTCTGATTTGACTTTCCATTCCAACATGTTTATGCAGGAAAAAGAAAAGGCCTTGAATATGACAATCGATGTCTTTTGTAGATTTGTAAAGCAACATTCTAATGTAGCACAATTGATTACCATGTATGACAACCACTTCACTTGTCCTTTCATCTCCTCTTTATTTTCTCTACCGCATTGGATTTGATGTATATTTAACTTGCATGTATCCGAATACTAGCACTTTGTTCCTTTAAAAAAGAATGGTAGCATCTTATACATATAACTCGAGCAGGAAAAGAAGCTTGTTGCTGAGATAAAGAGAACTGCTAAAACAGGAAATGAGGTTAGTTGCTTACTTTTAAGTTTAAACTCACATTGCTGATAGCATATATATATATATATATATATATATATATATATATATATATATATATATATATATATATATATATATATATATAAGTAAAAGTATATACTTTGTTGATTATATGAAGATGAAATTTTTGTGCATTAACATCTGGTTTGTGCAGGCAGCAACAAAGATTTTGGCACGCCAATTGGTGAG